TCTCGTTATCCTCAAGAGAAGAATAGTTTATTAATGAGAAAGTTCTGGAAATAAAAAACAGTCCTCTAGCATCAAACGATCTGGGATTGAAGAAAAGAGCAACAAAGATTTGTGTGAAGATATCAAATACAAGCACATGAAGTTAAAAACGATAGTAAAATGGCGAATGTGAAAAGGCAAGAACGAGATGAAGCGAAAAAAAAGGATTTATTGGAGTTGTTTATTAAGAAAAAACTTTTGAATGATAGATTTGAAGTTAGATCTGATTATGAAGGGAGTGATAAAACTATAGTTGAAACAGAGAACCTATGTTTAGATGATCAACTTGCAGGACAAACTTGTGAATATCTGAATTATCAAATACAATTTGAGTGAATCAAGCGGAACATATACACGTATACGTGGCTAGTGACATAATTGTTTTTTTTTCTTTTGTATGTGTATACATTTTTGCAAGCTAAGATGTCTACTGTATATAGTATTAGTATAGCAGTACGTTCGGTAGTGTTACAAATCTTCGATTTCGTTTTTTTTTCTATGTTAATGTTTCAAATTCCATATATTTTATCTATATGTATATGTTTTGTTTGTGATTTTTTTTGAAAAGCTATTCCTACTCATGTATGATTATATTTTTATTTCAATTTCTTTTTTTGCATTTTATCATCATTATTTTTTTCTATGCAGTTTATATTTATTGTATTTCTTTTATTCCGTTTTTCATTGTAATTCGATGAAACCGACGTTACTTTCAATAGTTTGATCGAACATAGCAATTTTATATTGGTAAAAAAAGGTTGCATCATGTCAAAAAATATTGAATAAGAAAGTGTCTTTGAAAGATCGAAAGAAGATGAGACATTTAACGATACGTGTATTTATTTGGTAAATCAAATGCTATTATTCACAAGTGAAATCCTTAGAATATCATACATGAAAACATTGTTGCAATCTATGAATAAGTCACAAAATGAAAATTTTGGCTATACGTTCATCACTATTTAATTTGACGAATTTTTACTCTCCATCGAAAATGAATTTATATGAAAATTTCATTTGAATGAGAAAAGATTCAATCCATCTGATAAAATTATAACACAGATAACTATCGTCTTGTCAAGCATGATTGATAATTGTGTCTTTGCGATTCTAACAAATGGATGATGCTGTCAATGGATTGTTTTCTTCAAGCGAAATCATCAAGCTCTCTCTCTCTCTCTGGATCATCATTATTACCATTGAATAGTGAACATTATTGATTGATCTCAATCAAATATAGATAGAAACTTAATGCTGCTGAGATCTATTTTTTATCGAAACAACAACCTTGAACTCTTATGCATTGTTCTTCTGAAGTAAATTGACCTATCACGAAATATAATCCATCATTCGTTACATCTTTACAACTATAAATATTTTAAAAAAAATACACATTATGAACTATGTAAAATGAGGTAAACGATAACTATGAATTAATAGCAGTATGGAATATAACAAACGATTGATAAAATTATGAGAGTACTTGTGTAAATCATTGTTGATGAAACATTCCATTATTGTTCTATCTCGTAGGATTAAGCTTTATCGCAAGTTGTCAATTGATGAATTATAATCGTATCAAGATACGATCATATCTATTGTCCTTCCTTTCAAAGCAACATTTAAATTATAACATTTATCGATATTCGCGAATGACTCGCCACATATAATCGAACAAATTTTTCTAATATGAATTCCGTCGTTTTGTGCTTATTATCGATTTTAAAAATTGTATAAATATATGATCTAATGCACATAATAATTGATAATTCAGTAGTCAACGACCTGACATAGAGAATAATTCAGAGAATCTTTAAAAAACTTTAAACGACGCATTAAATCATTAACCGATGGATCGATCAATGCGACTTCAAGTAAATTATTGCGCGAAGATAGCAATTATAATTACAATTCGATGAAAAACATTTATTATAAGAGTGAATTGAAAGCTTATTAGGGAATAAACTGAATCAAAACGAGTTTCAGAATTGTAAGATGACATATACTCTATTCATTCATTAATTGAAACTCTCTGCACGATTATTGTCATAGTGAAGCACCCATCAATCTCTAATCAAGCCATATCTAACTACGAAATATTTGCTGTAAATTCTCACTCTAAGAAAATCAGCTTAGATGATGTTGATCCATTTCACATAGCATGCTATGAAATACAGTTTAGGTTTCATTTGAATTCTCTATCGAATTCATTTTCAATAATTGAGATCGAATAGATAATGGAATATAATCTTATTAAGATGAAATATTTCTAATTGTCAAGTGTTGCCTCATCGTAGATAATCATTACGAGTCGAATACGGACAAAATAGCGTCTGACAATTGGCAACAATCTCTAGTCAATGTAAAAAATTACTCACCATAAGTCACAAAACACGAAATCGATTGGATGGTTTGGACCATCAGAACGCAAGAAATACGTTGGATGCATGTATGGATGTATGTTTATATATTGCCAACACGTATGTGAAACCAAACATTACACTTCGATTCGACAAACAGTGAGTATGCATTTTGTCATTTGAGTGAATAAGAAATATTTTTCAACTAAGCTATTGCGTACAACAAAGACAAATAACTCTATGAAGATTAAATAGATTTTTGTTTTACATGGAAATTGACTTACTCTAAAAAATCATTATTCACAATATGTATGGACGAAAATTATCCAAAATAAATATTACAATATTTTATTCATTTTGATTTTCTTTTTACCTAAGATAAAAAAGAAAACTTCATAATAAAGTTATATGAATACAATTAATGAAAACTATGAAAAATCTAAGTTAAAATAAATATTTTTTTAGCCAGTTGTTTTCCAACGAAACTAGACATCTTCTATGCATTGTATATCCTAGGATGCTCGCTTTTCTTACCTAATTAATATCAAATCTTAGTTAATCTTCATCTTAAATTTTTTTCTAGTATTTAGAAAATGCTTCAGTTTCTATATTTCAATGAATATCTTGTCTGGGATATAAAATGCATTAAAACGGTTATAATTTGAAAATAAAAGATCTATGAGAACGAATATGTAACGTATATTTATCATTAATATCATCTCACATGTGTTATATGATTTTTGTGTTCTTTAAGTTTTTATGTAAACTCTTGACCTATCTCTTAGTCATACTTCTATTTCATTCTGTTCTTGATTGTTGGTCCTATTTGATCTATACTGAACACTATATAAGCCCATGTCATAAAAATCGCGTCACTCTTGGCGATTAATCAGCGATTTTACAATAGATTTCAGCAGTAAATTTTGTTTTTTCTTCTATTTATATCACCTGATCATTCCAATGAATAGTAAATATTATTTCATTAAAAACAAAAACAAAAAAACTTTTTTATTCAAATCATCTAATCGTTAAAGTTGACTCTCATGTGATTCAAACCGAACAAAAACTAGTGGCGCACGACGGTTTTTTCTTGAATGATGTATTCTATCAAAATAGGAATATAATTTTGAAGTTCGTTAAAACTAACAGACTTGAATCGATTTCGATGTAGTTCAACTGATGTTGATGGTCCTAAGCTGCCTGTAGTAGTCATAGAGTCTTAACTGGTCACACCTGACCGAAAGTACTAAGTACTACCACAGATTCTTACGAATAACGAGAAATACTGGCAGTACTGCAAATAAACGTGTGACATGGGTGATGAGTATTATTTTATAAGAATAATTTTTTTTGTGTTTTTATTTGCGCTATTAACTGCAGATGGGGAATAAGAAATCATCTCTTTCCTCATTCATCAAACACATCTATGAGTACGATAATAAACAATGGTGGTATATACACGTCGAGACGTGGCTATAGCCATAGATCCGAATACTAGGAACACGTCAAATTATCGAGAATATTGTAGGGTGGCCTATGAATAAAAAGAAAAAGTGAAATGTCTTCGTATTGACTCCACTAAATAGGCTCATTTTTTGTTCGTTTTAAAAGTTGATTCAAACTTTTATTTTTTCGAAGAGATAAAATAACCAAATATAATTGTTAAGTATTATTTTTGATATCATGCAAGAAATTTGATCTATTGTCAACTAAAAAAAACATACATGTCTAGCGTTTCATAGATAATTTTCAGTGGTCAGAAACACTAGACATGTAGTTTTTTTTGTTAGTTGACAATAGATTAAATTTCTTGCACGACACAAAAAATAATACTTGACAGTAATATTTTTTTATTTTATTCCCATGAAAAAAAAGTTTGAATGACTTTCTAACACTAACAAAAAGATCAGCCTATTTAATTAAACGGATACAGAGGTATTTTACTATCTTTATCTTAGTATTATTTATCGACTATTATGTATTTGAATAATCGCCGATTTTCCCGTGATTTTGATGACATGGAAGGGCATATACAAGAGAAAGAGGGATACATTATATTAAAACAATTGAACGAATTTCTTTTACAAAAATTAACATTAGATTTATTTTTCTGAGTAAAAAACTTCGACAGATGAATTGATACTGATTTTCTCTTAGATCAAATTAGTTTATTTGCGATGATAAACTCAGAATAATCCAAAATAATTATTTATGTACTTCATCTGTATGTTCAGATCGAGAACTCAATTTGAGTTAGATTGTTTGTGTTTACATTTTTCTTTTCAATAAGCGATAGAATAAAATGTGTGTGTTCATCTATTTTTTTTTTGTTTGATTGATCACGTCGAAGAAAAAAATACACATGTCGACACACACTGTAGTAGCAGGAGATACATTGTGGGATCTTAGTCAACGCTACGGATGTATCGTCGATGAACTAATCGCAGTCAATCCTGGGATGATACCTGAAGCATTATGCATTGGACAAATTCTGAATTTGTCTGGAAGTATAGACCGGTTATTTTTCTAATCTTATCGTCTGATTATCTGTCGACTATCGTTTACAACATATTTATCATTTCAGGTTGGTCATCAGACACCATGTCGACGTATCGTATCGTAGCTGGTGATACATTGTGGGATCTTAGTCAACGCTACGGATGCACCGTCGATGAACTGATGGCTGTCAATCCTGGAGTGAGACCCGAAGCATTGACAGTGGATCAAATCTTGAACCTACCCTTCGAAAGTAATATAAAAGTTTAAATTTTACGTTAATTTCAATAGGAAAAAAATAGCCACTCCATCTGGTTAAATTCATAAGATCCTATTAGGTATTCCTAACTAACGATCAATTAATCATAACGACTATAGTTATAAAAACAACTCTTTTGAACATCTACTGATCAGTCCTCACGCATGCTACAACATTTTCATCCCAAAAATGACGTAATTAGGGCATTAGGTTCTATCTTACAATAATGTTTTGATTAACGATCAGAAACGACTAATATAAAAAGATTAAGCTATAAAAGTTTATATATCGAGTCGTAAAAAAATAAAGATACAAATTTATAAATTATACTCGACTATTTGTAAAAAAAACAATTCCTATGTAGTCGTCCATAATTTCTATCAAAAGTAAAACATGGTCGAAATTTACAATTAAAATAAAAATTAACATAATTAGAACTTTATTATTGTCAAGCGTTATATCGAGATATTTGTGCAATTGATCCGAAAAAAATAATATAAATACATATTGATATTTTTCTTTTAATTCAAAGCATTCAACAGCACGTTATCAACAAACACATGGTCATCGACTGAAGAACCATTACTACCGACATGGCAAGCACCTGCTTGTGCCCGATTGGATACAACATTGAGCGAAAGCACTCCAGAGCCGATTGGACAACTACGCCATTTAATCGATCCTGCAGCACAAGAAACGAATGTACCAGCCGATCTCATCGGCGCTGTCATCTATCAAGAATCTGGAGGTAATATAAATGTTAACACGACAACAAATCCAGGTAATTTTGGAGTCGATTCGGGTGTCATGCAAGTAAATGAGTATACAGGTGCTGAACTTCAACAACAATATCCTCATCGTTTTGTTGGTCTTTACGGTACAGAAAAAGAAATTATGCTTGGTGCCAGCTATCTCAAACAGATGTATGACACATTTGCAGATCACGATTGGGGCATTACACTTCGTGCTTATAATTCAGGTCCGAATGGTGTCGATAAAAATAATCTACGCGCAAAACCAGCGGGTACTGGTGACAGTACTTATGTCGACAAGGTTTTACATTTTTGGGTTGACATATCGCAAGGTAATCCATTACCACCAGATCATTATGAATCAATTTATGGCAGAGGCTTTTGAACTATTGACAATATTCTATTGAAATCTTTATTGACGTGTTCGAGTTTATATGTTAATCGAAAGCTTATAAAATATCAATTGTTCACGTATTTCTAGATATTTTATAACGTAACTGTAAAATTCTTATTAAATTCCTAATAATACGAAGAATAAACAAGAGAGTAATCAATATGAGTTTCATCTTTTTTTTTGTTCATTTTCTATCGTGATCTGCCTCAGATAGGAGACGAGACGAAAATTGGTACTTGAACATATGTGTGGATGCTGATCTTCTTCTCACCCAAAGCCACACCCACTAATCCCTCGCCATCATCAACGTCGAAATCAAACGTAAGATCGAGAGATATTTCATTTTCAACATAAAAGGACGTACTATTGTTGATAAAAAACAATAATGTCAAAAAAATGTTTGGCAACTTCCTCATCATCAAGCAGAACAACTTTTGCAAGAGAACAGTAGTGCAAGACTCAAATCAATTTCGATCAATCATCCATTGTACTAGATGCAAGCAAATCTTTGAGATTTGTGTCGCTCTATATTTTTCAAGTATATTTTGTTGAGTGTTTCCAATTGACTTTTAGCTTGTTACATATGACCCAATTCATGTTTGAACTCATTGATTAGAACAAATAGGACGAGAGTCGATTCTGCTTGATAGTTGGTATTGATTTCATCCAGCAGTACACTATTGCTCTTTCATGAAGAATTCTATGGCGATCGTTTAAATAATTGAAATGGTTGGGTTGATGATGTATGATTGACAAGGGACTTAGTCAAACTTGTCGTTTTAACCATGGCGATGTATCAACTATGGTAATGGAGAAACAGAAGAAATGTCCTTTGGTGGCGTATGGGTTTTTTTTCTCTTCTATACCGAGTGTATCGGTCGAAAAAAGAGAGCAGAAACGTAAACAAAGACATTAACCAAGTCCACTGTTAAACAAGACGGAAGAGATTTACTTGTTGCAGCCACTGTTCAAGGAAGACATCAGACAAAACTAGGATAAATGGTGACTCCCTCTTGAACGAAAATTCTCGACATAAAGACAAGATTCGCGTATATTCAAGGAACAAAAAGCATTTATCAACAAAACTACAAAGTGAAAAATCGAATTCATATCTATGGATTCATCCGATTGACAACAGATGATAGCAATGAAGCCTTACATCCTCTCGTATGACATTTCAGTTTAGTGACTGCACGAACAATTAGAAAATTTAAGTTGAGAACATATTTAAAAAATAGAGATAACATCGTTACTCATTTGTGCACGATACTATCGATTTAAGGTGAGTGTGTATTTATCCATTTCACCTCTTGGATGGTGATAACATCTGAAGATGATGTATTACACAAAATATTTTATGTTCTTTATGAGAAACAGTTTCTACATTGAAAATAGTCACCATTAATAAAAAAGCAAAGAAAAATTTACATTCAATATTATAAGAATTGTATGAATAATTTTTAAGTACCACAATATATCAGAAAAAACGACAATTTGTCTAATAATCATCTATATCAATACATAATATAGAACAGAGATATTCTGGACTAATAAAATGATATCTTTATATTTCCAAATGAGATTCAAAACACATGAAATTTTTTCTCACAGAACTTAAGTGTAGATTCTTTCCTACTCCTACCACATGTTCACATTTGTTCGCAATTTGAAATTCATATTCTATAACGTGATTGATATTTTGAAATAGATTGCAATAAAAGAAAAAAAGTTCTAATGATGATATGAAATCATTCTTTATTATGTTGACTTTTTGTTTTTTTTTGTAAACTATAGAACCACATTATAATAAATCGATATATTCCTAACACATAGTACGATGACCAAGTGTATGATAAAATCGACGTGGAATGAAACCTAAGTAATCACTCAAATTTAATCTTTCAGCTGAATAATAAACTGATAATTGACCTCGATATGAATAATAATTAATTTCATTATGCCATCCACATAAATAACGAAATGAACATGGATGATTATTTCTATATATAAATATAGCAATATCAAACATTGGTAATCCAATTGAATTCGAACGAGAATAAAAACCGTCATGTATATATTCGGCTCGTTGAAGTTCTATTTCTTCTAATGTAATATTAAGCTGCGCAGGATTGCTTTGTTCACGAAGTATTACACGAGAAATTGTAAGATTAACTTCTAATTCTGATGTTCGATTAAAATCATGATGATGAAGACCAATTATTGGTGTTCTTGCTAATGATAAAATTTCTTTAATATTAATTATAAATGCTTTACCATCGAGCCAAACAAACCATTTAGCCATGGGAAACATTCGATGTCCAAGCATTTTTACTGTTTCTGTTACCTCAGCAGGGACACGAAATAGCGAATCCGTGTCACCTAAATCAATAAAATCCCATTGAGTTCCTGTAGGAAAATGTCGCTTAAATGCATCTATCGTTTTTGTATCGAGCAATGCAACGAAACAAGTATTTGGCGGTACTGTATCTTGAATAATAGGTAAATTATCATAGCAGTTTGTAATACAGGTTATTACTATAATTTGACATTTATAATTATGTGCATATCGATTTCTAACTCTATCAAGTGTTGTTTGCACGGTAAAACCACATTTAATTGGATTTGTATTAAAATAATTATTTGGCACATATGATTGATAAAATTGTTCACGATCATTAAATGAATACATATCACTAAAAGCACAATCGAATTGTTTGAATGGACATCGTTCTGGTTTATCAGTTGAAGTTCGTTTAGTAATTGTTTCAGATTGTATTTGAAAAAAAGTACCATCATTAAAACATTGACGATTATCCGAAACATATTTTACAAATGAATGATTTCCATGTAAATGATAGAAATCATTTGATTTATCGATAGTTTCTAATTTCACATTTAATAATGTTAATAGAATATATTTACCTGTTTCTGATTGATCCCACCATGTTGCATCTTGAATAAATTGATAACAATCATATTGAACTATATTTTTAAATGTTTGTGTTAATGTATTAAAACCTAATAATGAAATAAAATCTGTTAATATTTTTTCAGAATTATTTAAATTTGAATGAATCATATCTTCAGAATTGATAATTATTGATTTTGTATTTGATTTATTCTGAAAATAATTTATAAGATAGTCAGTAACAAATTTTGCTTTTTTAATAATTGGATCAAATGAAATATTCCGATTGAAAGTAAAATTATGAATCGGTCGTATTTTATCTAAATATTGATAGATAATGGTTGCCTGAATTGATTGTCTTTTAAAATAAATTTGATTGATCTTATGCATACTAAATTTTATTATTCGAATAAGATCTGTCGAACATGTTGAATTATTATTGAAATTCATTGTAAGTGATAAAATATAAATCTGAACATATGTATTATCTTTCGAGCCAGTAGAAAAATAATTTTCTTGAATAAGTTCACATTCATCATTTAATCGTGAAATTCGTATATTTCCTAGTTTTCGTGTAACTATCCATTGAATATATTTCATTATTCCCGTACCATCATGAGTCCATACAACAGAATTGATTGTAGGATTGTATGGCAAACAACTATTTCCTTTAAATTGTTGTTGATCGATAGATTGCCGTTTGAAACAAAGAGAAATATTATTAGGTTCTAGAAATAGATCATTATTGTTAATGTTATTAGAAGTTGAATGATAGAGATTGATATAGATAGTGACGAGCATTCCCAGTAATAATGTATAGAAAAATCGACGTCGATGAATGAAAAGTTTAATAGATGGCATTATGTCGAATGGCTATGATCGACTTTGATTACGAATATCATAAAATAATGAAATATTTCGATGAAATTTTATCTAAACAAGCAAAAAACAATATGTACGAGTAATCTAATGTCCATTTCAGAGTTAAATGGGCGTGGGCATTTTTTGAATAACTTTAAAACAAAAAGAGAGAAATGATTCGGGCTTTCAGCATTATCTAGAGTCGACATTACTATATCTTTTTATAAAGTCCACGAAAAAATCCAGTTGCTTTTCGTATGGGATACAGCATTGGTTTTAAAGATGAACTTAATCCCCTTTGAGAACAATATGCTTTCTAAACTATAATATAATGAGTAGATAGCCCAACTTCGCCTCTATCAGTCAGCAAAAGCCCGAGGTCGATAGCTATTTCTCTTAAAAAGATATAAAGATTCCACTGAATGCTACTCATCAAAATTTTTCAAAATCTAACAATGGAACTATTTGTATTGTCAGTTGATTTGCTTAACTATATTCGGACCAAATTAAAGGCCTCACTGCCAAATTAACAAATTTAAAATATGACGTGCTGACGGCGTGCCTGGACAGAGATTCTTGAATTTCAAGATATATGAAATTTAGGTATAAAAATGAAACAGTAAAATTTTACTCCACTATTGTAAGGGCAAAACATGGTGTTGCTCGGGTCATATGAAAGAGGCCCCCTCTAACCTCTTTAATCCTTTGGAGACGGTCGTGGTATATATACCACTTCGAATATATCTCAAAATTTTGGTATGATATATATACCAAATCAATCAGAACTGAGTGAAAGTAGTCTATAGAATCATTTTCCTTTGTTGAGTTAGGAACAATTGATTGCTTCAACGCTTATCATACCCTAAAACACTTTTAATAATGATTTTTGATTGAATAAACATCTATTTTCTTTCTTATAAGAAAACTATCTTTTCAAAAATACCCCGTCCCCAAAAGGTTAATCGGCCCGAACAACACTATGTTTTGTCCTTATAATAATGAAGTAAACCTTTCCCGTTTCATTTTTATACTTAAATTTCATATACCTTGAAATTCAAGAATCTCTGTCCAGGCACGCCGTCAGTACGTCATATTTTAAATTTGTTAATTTGGCAGTGAGGCCTTTAATTTGGTCCGAACATAGTTAAGCAAATCAACTGACAATACAAACAGTTCCATTGTTAGATTTTGAAAAATTTTGATGAGTAGCATTCAGTAAAATCTTTATATCTTTTCAAGAGAAATAGCTATCGACCTCGGGCTTTTGCTGATTGATAGGGGCGAAGTTAGGCTATCTACTCATTATATTATAGCTTAGAAAGCATATTGTTCTCAAAGGGGATTAAGTTCATCTTTAAAACCAATGCTGTATCCCATAAGAAAAGCAAGTGGATTTTTTCGTGGACTTTATAAAAAGATATAGTAATTTCGACTCTAGATAGTGCTGAAAGCCCGAGTCATTTCTCTCTTTTTGTTTTAAAGTTATTCAAAAAATGCCCATGTCCATTTAACTCTGAAATGGACATTAGTACTTAGTTCACTTTCTCTATGTGTCCTCAGAAAAAACGATCAACATATTTCTATTCAACAGAAAGGTGTAGGTATGAGTGAGTCTAGAGAAGTTTCTCATTCTCATCCGAGAAGACCTCAAAATCTCGGCTAGAAAACCATCTTGATATCCGTTTCGTACGATAGACGTCTGAGACTCATACATGTCACGTGTGTGAGTCTGCATCGTTAATGTACAACCTTCGATCCGTCATGACGCCATCAAGATGGTTTCTGGTCGCTCGCGTGCACTGACAATTAAAATAGAAATGAAATTCATTTCTTTTTAATTCAATGTGATTTTAGATAGAAATTTTAAAAAAACAAATAACCATGTTATGAAGTCTATTCGATAGAAAAACATTGTAGCCAATGGTTTTCACAATAGACGATATAGAAATGGTCATATTGATTGAAGAACAAACTCCAGAGTGCGGTCAAACCAGTTTGCTTCATGTTCTTCAATGAGATCCTTTGTCTTTTTGTCGATTAGCGCGTCAGTTGATCTATTCAACTGATATAATCGATTTGCTTGATCATTTCTCTATTCGTGTTACTCATCTTTCATCCGACGACATTGTGATCGTCTTAATCAACAATGTCGAGATGCTGAAGTTAGTTGGATTGATTGATGGTATTGCTTCCCCTCCATCCATGGATTCCAGTAATGATTACAGCATTCTGTGTTCATTGAAAATTGACTGAGATTTTTCGAAATTACTGGAATAAAAAAAACCAGAATCTTCATCAATATCAAGCAGATTATCTATGTAAAAAGAGTTAGAAATGAGATCTTCTTCCTCGAAAAACTTTGTGAAACTTTCAAGAACATTTTTGAGGCTGCTGAGAGTGCCAATCCTACTTATGACATATCAAAAGTTCTTACGAGCCTATATCAATTTCATATAGAATGCTTGAAGAAATTTTCTTTTTTTGTTAGATGATAGAGAAAACGATGCTCTATGTTTCTATGTTATTTGATCAATCTTCGACTATTATCATAATAATAAAATTTCGATAAGAATTGTTTTTGTGTAAAACTTAACTAACAGGTGAGACAGATTGAATGTTTCAATCACTTAATACATTGTATTAAAAAATAAAATATACCACAATATGCAGCATGAAAAGCTCTACAACTTATAAAGAACAGTTTATTTTATATATGAAATACAGAATTTCTCTTCGCATGATTTTTTTTCAGAGCGGTAAAAATAGGTCGCATAGAATTTTAGTTTCTTCAACGAGAAATACACAATTAAAATAAGCATTACTTTGTAGATTATAGAGCTTCTCACGCTACATCTTGTAATGTATTTTGTTTTTTTAATACAATGTATTAAGTGATTGAAACATTTAATCTGCCTCACTCGTTAGTTAAGTTTTACACAAAAACAATTCTTATCGAAATTTTATTATTATGATATTAATTGAAGATTGATCAAATAGCATAGAAAAAGAAGAGCATCGTTTTCTCTATCACCTAATAAAAAAAGAAAATTTCTTCAAGTATTCTATAAAAAATTGATATAGCACCGTAAAGACTTTTGGTATACCCTAAATACTTTGTTGAGGACATAAATGACGATAAAGAGAAATATTTTATCCACCTTCAAGACAAAAGAAGAATGATAGATAAAAAAACCACCTCATGTTGAGGAGCGTAAGATTGATTTCAAAGAATATTTCCTCGATAAATGATTGAATTGAGAAAAAAAAAGATTTAGTATAAGTAGGACTTCACTGGATTCTTTCTTCACCAAAATGAGCAATCAGTACACAGCTTTTCCTTTGAAAGTAGCTTGGCACTTATCGTTGTGTCATTCACGAATATGTTGAATCTACTTATGGACAGAAGTCAAGAAGTCCGAACAATTTTACGAATTTGCTGTAAGCACTAATGAAATTGAAAGTTAAATTTGTTGTCTAAATAGCATAGGTGATGATCTGTGGTGCATAATCCTTCTTAATAAATTTTGAATCGAATTATTTGATAACTCAGTAAAAAAAATTTTCTTTTATTTCTGGCTTAAAATAAAAATTAATTATTGCTGGTTTTTTGATTTTCAAATAAAAGAAAATTATTAGTTCGTAGTTTCGTGCCTAATTAAAAAAATGAATTTTGACTAGGACATACGTATAAAAAGCTTTTTCTTTTTTGTCTTAAAAAGTGAACACATATGTGCAGATTCATTCTTAAATATGGTGTCTGATTATTAAAGGTCCAGTGTTGTGAATTTTGACTCATCGAACTTACAAAATCCAATGAATCATGTTGAAGACGAAAATAAACCCAGGTCAATCAATCCTAACTAACGGATTCCGACGATATCCGGACCGGAATCCGGTAAAATCCGACAAAAACAGACAGGATTCGATCGGATTTTATGCAAATCCGATGTCAGATCCGACGTCGGAATCCGTTAGTTAGGATTCCGACAAAATTGAGATAGGTTTCAGTCGGAATTATTTGGAACCGACAGGATCCGATCGGGCGTGATTGACCTGGGTTAATGCAAAGAGCGTTTCGTCTGAATGAAATTAAGGGCAGAAAATTACATACAACTGATGGTGTATACAATGTTGATTAATTATATCATCTACTAATGGAACAGATGCTGTGCAATTAGCCATATAAATCCTAAAAGCAAAATACATGCGTTTCGACACAAAAAATATGTACATGAATGCAGAATGATTAAATCTCCTGAAATTTCATGTAAAATGTCAAATTCATGAATGCGCAGAGCTTGTGTTCGTTTAAATTTGAAAAAAACTATTCTAAATAAACTTCTGTTAAACTGAATGATGTCTTGAATATGATAAAAATCTAACTACAAGATTTAGATACGTAAAGTTTACCTTATATCAATGGTATATATCAGTGATTATATTCAATCTTGTACAAATATTATGAACAGAAAATCAAAATTATTAATTCATTAAGATTGTCCGAGTATGCAATAGATAAATTTAATTGATGCATTCACAAGAATATTGTTTTCTTTTGAATAGTATGTGTTTGTTTTTTTGTTTGAAAATGAATGTATGTTGAAATTTTTCTTTTCTCTATCTCAATATATTTATTGACAATTTGACGTGATTTTTTCATCAGCCTTCTGTATAATTTCTTTTTTTTTTTTGTTATGCAAAGAACTGAAACAAAGAAAATTTTTATAAGAACAATCTAATAGCAAAACAGATTTTTATAAGTAACTATCTATACATCCATATGTTTTCACTTACTTTTAATGTGACACGTTCAAGTATGCTTTGTTGATTGTGCATAATTATTTTTATTTCGTTTGAATATATTCGAGAATTTCATTCAGTTTTTCTTTCTTTCTTTCTTTCTATTTCGTTTGATCTTTTTGCAAAAAAAAAAGCCAAGAGAAAGAAAATTAAATAAAAGTTTCGAAGGAGAAGAAAATAAATAGACGAAATAGAAGAGCAAGGACATTAGTAAAAATGTCCGCATTGTTATTTTATGGTTTCTATACAAGATAATTATTGTACAAAGAGGAAAAAAACGTTGTCAACATGTATTTCTTCTTCGAATTTTATGTTTACTATAGATAAAACTTTGTATTTATTATTTGTGGTAAATGCATTCGATATTTATTTTAAAATTTAACATTGTGATATGTAATTCAATTAGAAATTTTTATAAACAATTTTTTCACAAGAAAAATTGCACATATTTTGTGAACAATGAAAGGACGATAAAAATATGAGGAATCAAAAGTCGTGAATTCAAACTGCTAAATACATTTTATAATAGAATGAACGTTGAAGAATTCTACAATTAATCAAAACAACACTTCAGCAATATAAATGAAAACTAATATAGACATATATAAATATTTCGGTATTGTCTTATTAATTAGGACGGACAGAAATTGAAGTTACATTTTTTTGCTTTTTAAATTAATACATCAGAAGGGATATAGTTAATATTTTTCTATTGACTAAACTTTCATCCAGGATTAGAGGTGTAAATCAATCGACTGAGCTGTTACCACGACATAATACTAGATTTTTTGGAGAATTTTCGACAGCTAGCACTATTTGTCAGTAGACTTAATAAATCTTCTGATTTTGAATTGTAGACTCCAGATAGAAAATCTTCTGATTTCAAGAACTGACTTTCAGCTGTTTATCTTAACTTTTAGCAATACTGTTAAACAATAACAAAAAAAAACTGATTGATTGAAATGTTTAATGGCTGTAGTTTTTGTTTAGTTATTTTCAGTTTCATAGAATTCTCATGAAATAATAACCAAAATAGAATGATTTTAAGCAAAGTCATTCTTCAAAAAAATACAGTCATGTTCCAAAAGTATCACAAACGACACGGCAACTAACTATTTTTCGTTTATACATGCTTACTTTTTTTTTTACAACATGGCTCAGATGAATTCAACCTTCCTTCATCTTTGTTTTTCTTGCCTAACACTATTTTAGTTTCCGGTTTTTTTTTGTCATGATCGGTATATATTGACGAAGTACAAACTTCACTATATTACAGAAACAATCTTTTTGCAAAAAAGTTTCAGCCGCTTCGTTACAAAATAATATATCGACCAATCAAGGTTCACTGGACCTTAAATGAACAAGTGTTGCACCGAAACAATGTCGAGATAGTAGAAAATCAGTATAGAAAAGAGAGCACAATCAATGTTCCTGTAGTTATATCCGATCCAATACTTTCAATATGTCCTAAGTAGATTTACTATGGTAATAAAAAATAAAGACATTATAAGAGAATTAATAATTCCAAAGATCGAAAATTTTTTTTCAATGAAAAGAAATAAACGAATCTTATCATAAGAAATCATTTTGTCTTTCATTTAGATTTCTGCGCGAGATTATCTTGTTAACACTAATATCCACTAATAATTTGTCATATGTTTATTTATTCATTTTTTTTTTCTTCGATTATAACAAAAAAAACAGTATTAAACACTTGTATACAATCACTATTGAAAACAAACATACAAACTGAAAATCATGTTTCATTTTTCAAACCATAAATAAGCAAAAAAAACAACTAAAGCAACAATAATTGTTATAGCAGCATAAACAAATGTACCATTATTACCTAAATAAAATAAATTATATAGATGAATAAATATAAACAAGAAAATATTTACTCTTATTTATATCTTGTAATTTATCATTTTTATTTGTAGATTTATCTTGAATCTTTTTCGATGTAATATCTTTCTTAATTTCATTTGATTTAATTACAATACGTGGTCGTATTTCATTCGATTCCCTATTAAATAAAAAACTTTCAAACTTAATCTTGATGAAAAAAAAATTTACTCATAAGTATTTCGTTTTGATGAATTTCTTGATGATGAAGTTGCTTTATAATCATGTCGAATAATCATTGGTTCAGTCGTTTGAAAATTATCTGAATTAGAATTTCCCGATGAATATTTTGTACGAAAAATATTTGGATACGAAGTATTATTTTCATTGATATCATATTCAGTTTGATACATTGATTCATCGATTTCAAATTCATCATCTTGTCCTAAATAGATAAAATGGAATATGATAATCAAAAATTGAATTTTATTTACCATTTGTTGTTTGATTAGTTAATACTTCGAGTAATTTACGTTGATAAATAGCACGAGTATGATCTAAAAAAAGAAAATCAATGAATATTAATATGAAATTGTTAGAGAATTCTTACTTGTAATAGGTCCAACAATAAAACCACGTTGAATTAAATTTGTTCGAAGTTCAAGATCACTTAATTTTGCAACATTGACATTTTTTTCTGTTAATACCTAATAAATAAAAGTTTAAAAAGGGAGAAAAATTTTTAATTGTTTTTTTTTCTCTTACCACGGAATGAAGACATCGTATAATCGATAATGTATCTTTTGATGTGAATGGACCAAGGTCATAACCGATTTCTTTTAATTGCTGTTGTAATTCAGCTTTAATGGACATGATAGATGAGAGAGGAATGATTGTGAAATGAATAAACAAGTTGTCTTTTTATTGTATGAATCATTTTTTTTTTATTGATGAATTTATATGGTAGTCAAAATGATCCAATCAGAATAATGATGAATCATTTTATAGTAGCAATAAGAAAGTTTACTAATTTCTTTTCATTTTTTTTTTTTATGAACAAGATGATATTTCTTTTTCTTGATAAATATTTGTAGATTTTTAAGAAATATTTAAATTTTTCTTTTAAAAAGTAAACGACATCTAATGTTGCTAAGAAACATTGAAAAATTAAAAATTCTTTATTGGTTCATTTGAACGACGTTTAATCGGATTGAATAATTGCTTTGTAATTATCAAGAAAAATCATTAAATCTTAGAAAAATTATGCTTGATTTTACTAATCTTTCTCGACGTCAAGTTCGTAATTGGATTAATTTCGTATGTTAAAAATATTTATTCATTATTATTATATTCATTAAATTTATATCATTTTAGCTTTATTTTATCCTTGTCGTTATTACTTGGATTCTTGTTATATTAGCTGGTATTGTTCAAGCTCAACGTTCATATAAAAAATAAATTGATTAATTATATATTAATGAACATATTCTAGTTTTTAATAAAACTATTAGTTGTATTTTGTGGTTTTTCTTTTTTATATTGTTATATGTTTAAAATAATAAAATTAATTATTTTCTCTTTATTGTAGATTTTTCAAAATGTCAAATCGTCGTCAAAAACGAGCACAATTACGTGCACTTGAATGTCTTGCTTATGCAACAACATTATCTTATTTACGAGTACAAAATGATTATGATAAAGATGCTAAATATATTATTGAACATTTACGACCATTATTACATATATCAACACATAGACATTTAGCTGAATTAAAACGTATTATTAATGATGAAGAATTAGAACGTTTAGAATCAATACAACATATTGGTGAAAATAATCTTAAACATAAATGGATAGAATTAGAAGAAAAAGAAGATGAAGATAATAAATTAAATAATAATTCAACATCAATTAGAAAAAAAACAAAAGGATCATAATATTTATTTATATTTTCTTGTTATTGTTTGTTTTTTTGTAAATAAACATTATTGGTTTATTAAAAACAATTCTTTTTTTTTTTGTGAAACACAATCTAAAATCGAGTATAGAGGGTTAAAGTTTGAACCTCCTACCCGCATCACAGACCGTATATCAGTATTAACATCTCATTATAATATATGAACTATTTCCAGGACTCTTGATAGGTTTTAAGAGCAGTAGGGATTAAAAATTTTGGCAGACAGTTTTCCAGAAATTTTTGCAGATGGAAGGTAAAAGATAGGTGAGACTAGCCTATGGCCACTGTCTTATTGCATTTCTAGAAAATTAAATAAAAGCATAATGAAGAAATATATCCGAAAATAAAACAATCTCTCGTTGATTTCATATTTTATATCTACAAGGATTATGCTAATAGTTTTGCTTTTGATTAACAATACATAATTTAAATAAATTTAAAAGTTATATCATTTAATTTATTTATTCTTCTAGATCAAATTTTAAAGATCATGACTAATGATACAAGTAAAATAAATAATACATCAACTACAAATAAAATTCGTCCATGGATTCAAACAGGTCGATATGAATTTGAAACTGTATATCGATCAACATTATGTCCAAAAGAATGGCTTCAAGTAGAAAAAATATATGTTTGTGAATATTGTTTAAAAACAACAATTCATGCAACATCAGCAAAACGACATCGTGTATAGAATTAATTTGATTTCTTTTAAAATTCTTCATTCTATTATTTGTTTTTTGTTCTTTAGACAAAATGTACACAAACATGTCCACCAGGTTGTAAAATTTATATACAAAATGATGTTAATATTTTTGAAGTATGTGGTTGGAAAGCAAAAACATATTGTGAAGATTTATGTCTTCTTGCAACATTATTTATTGAAAGTAAAGTTGAAATAAAAAATGTTCATCGTTTTCGTTTCTATGTATTAACTGTTTGTCATAATGATAATCAATATGAATTTGCTGGATTTTTTTCTAAACTTCAATTTCAAGAAAAACTTAATCTTTCATGTTTATTAATTTTACCACCTTATCGTAATCGAGGTTTTGGAAGTTTAATGGTTCATATTAGTAAGTTAAAATTTCATTTTTATTTAGTTTTTTTTTTTCTTCTTTTTTAAAATAAATATTGAATAGGTTATGCTCTTAGTCGTTTGGCTAATATACATATAGGTACACCAGAACGTCCTTTATCAACACAAGGATTATTATGTTATAGAAAATATTGGAAATCGAAAATATTCGATTATCTTTTAACAAAAACAAATGATGAACAAATTGTCATCAATGGTTCGTATTATTCATATCTATATCAGCATCTAAACAGTCAATCTCAGATCTAAAATTGGACGCGTTTAATGTCACTGCCATAGCTGAATAGTTACGTAGTCTGACATGTATTTGCAAGGTGTTGTATTCAAACCTTAATACCATCAGTCATGAAATGATTCAGAGCAAATCACTAACAGTTGTTTGCCCCGAATCATACGTTCTATAGCATGTTGACTACGTTGTGACATACACTTGTTCTTGTAGTTAGTTGGTGTCTATGAGGAGCACAAGAATTCTGCGCTACGCTGGTCTTCTATCCAGAGCTACAACTAGTTAGGGAGCTGCGCGGGTCCGGTTACACATTTTGTGGACCCATTGCTCCTCAGATGAGAAAAACAGCAACAAGATATAACTGTACGTTGAGAGTAGCGAATAAATAGCTGAAATCTTGATCCTTCACTTGTTCATGTACACAAAGAATGCCAAGTATTGATGAAAAATACCTTGGGTTTGAACCCATAGCTTCCTATAGTTAGTATTACTCGTAAGAAAGATATCCGGTTATTGAATTTTCCTCTAGGTTACATCCCATACCGAAAGGTAGGGGTATTCTTCGTTCTTTCTTATCGACGAAGAAAATAAATTAAGATTCATAAAGTTATAGAAAATTGTCGATAAGTGTTTTAGCATAGTTCACCAACAAGAATTCGAATCAAATACTAAGCTAGAGATTAATACAGGTTTTAATGGAAATATCTTTTCTGATTCGAGATTGACTGTAATCTTAGTTTGAACACTGACATCTATTTATAAATTATTTAATAGATATTAGTAAAGCAACATCAATCTCAACATGTGATATTATTGAAACATTAGCATCATTAAATATGATTCGAATGTTAGAAAAAGATAAATTAATTATTTATCGTTCTCAAGTAAGATAAAATAATGAATTAATAATAAAATTATTTTTATATACATATAGGATTTACTTGATGAATATGAACAAAAATCTAAAGAAATTGATAATCGACAACAAATTGTTAATTATGATTCCAAATATTTAACAATTAAACCAATTCCAGTTACTTTACCATTTGAAAATAAATGTAAAAAATTAAAATTTGATGATAATGAAACAGTTATGACATTTTTAAATTATTATCCATCGTCATCAACAGAAGATATAGACTAGTTATTCTCAGTGTTTTTTTTTTGTTCTTTTGTATTAACTTAGATATCAATGGGCTTTTGTTTTCTTTCTTTGTATGTATATACGACAATAGTTATTATTTTCATATAACAAGATAGAAATTCTTCTATGATTTATCTGGAAAAGAAAAATATAACGATCTATTCGTATTATCATTTTTATAATAAGTAAATGTTCATATACAACTTAGAATGTTTTTGATATTATCAACAATACATTCATTACTAACATCTGTTAACTAATGTATGCATCTAGGTCGATCGAAAACAATTAATAAATTACAAGAGAGTGTATTGATATATTTAATAAACACTATATAAAATAATCAAATTGATCTTACGGAACTTTTAAATGATTTATCATTAGTTGTAGCAAAATAAAAGAAATAAGCTTCAACAGTAAATGTGTATTGTGTTTAAAATGAAAAGAAATTTTATACATTAGTTTTTTTTTTATATATACAAATCAACTAAACGAACAGTTGTATATATTCTTCTATGTTGACACGTAGTTATTCGACATTTGATAATCCAATTTATCATGATAATTTCTTTGAGCATACACAGCTAGAATATATCAATATAATTATTTTTTCTAGAAAAAATTTTCACTTATGTTATTGACAAAGATCATTCATATATTCCTTCATGTTTTTTTTGTACAAAATAATTATGATTCTATTTCTTATATTGACAAATATCCAATTGTAACTACTTTAACAAGATGATTCGTGTATCTATAGTAAATAAGGAACGAAAGATTTGTATCATTTTGAATAAAAACAGTATAACTTATTATACATATTGTGTGTAAGCAAATAGACGGTATGCTTTACCATTTAAATATGTCTTACTACATACATTTAGTTGTATAACAAAATACATAGACTTCTATAAAAATATTTATTTAGAATATTGTACTAGTTTAATATTATAATTGAACCTCACAGTTTGTATCATCCTTTAAATAAGTTGGTCTACAGATAGTTAAAATCATTTCTAGAATAACCATTAAAGCATAATCTTGAAAGAGGAAACGACCAATGACACATCACTTGGAAAAAAAAATAATCTAAATAGTCATCAACTGCTACAGATTGCATTTATACCGACGGAGAAAAGTTTAGAGCAGTTATATTTTTGAGTTTACTTCTCGGTAGCAATAGCGAGAAAGAATCTAAAAACTCCTATAAAATTGTTTAGATAAAGATATCTGGAAAAATCAAAACCAGTTTTCTGACATCCATTTGAAGCTTTTTACAGAAATGTTTTTATTTGATAGATCAAATAATTCTGAGCACAATGAGATGTCTCGTCTCTTTTCATGATTTCGATTTTTTTTGAAAAATTCCAATGATTTTGCCCTATTTGACACCATCTATAACTCGAATGCGATCCGGTGAAGGAAGACCATGAAGAGAGACGAGACATCTCATTTTATTCAGACTTATTTACTCTATCAAATAAAACTGTTTCAAACAGATGTGAGAAAGCTGTTTTTTGGGTATCTTTTAGCTACTCAAATGTTTTTTTTTTAGATTCTTCCTACCTATTACCATCGTACAGAAAACTCAAATATACAAATGCTCTAAATTTTGTTCGTCATTATATATTCTACTATTAATTTACTATACCTTAGACTGTTTCGTTCCTTTCTAATTATAACTAGACCACACAATCATGTTACTATATACACACAGGTATCAAATAAAGTTTGATTAGTAATTATATATTATTCATTGATTGAATACAGAGTTATAAATGAATATATTTTGTTTAGATAACATTACTCGTCAGAATTTGAATGAAAATAAGTAAAATTTTACGGCATTTAGCACCTTCTTTTTCGCTTGTTATGCTTTCCAATACATTTTGATAAGCTACAAGCGTTACTATTGGCAATAGTTTTTCATTCAAAAAAATAAAATACTTTGTGAAAGTTTTATTGATAATCATGCTTTTTTTTCTCTTGTGTCCTTTTATTCGATATTATCACAAATAATAAAAACAATCTGCATCATGCATGTTGAAGAACAATATTCATTATATGGACAAAAACGAGTCATTATACTTAATTATGACAGAAAAATCCACGAAAACCAAGATAGACTCCATACCACAAACTATATCTATAATGATATTTTCAACAAGATCGAACTTCAAAAAAAAAAACTGTTTCTCGAAAATCACTTTTTCAAAAGTATGCTCAGATCTTCAAACAAGACTTTTGTTTTACTATCATCTTCAGATTTCTAATAAGGACTTGCACCAAAAGTTCTCTAGAAAAAAATGAACTTTCTTTTTCTTGCTTTATTTATAAATTATCTGATGATTAACATCTACTAACCTATAAATGAATGATTACACATACAAGATTTATTGACATTAAGTTTAAAAACAAAATCTATTCAATCTAAATTTTATGAGAATAATAAACTACATAAGAAACAAAAAATTGTTCATTGTTAAAAATCTTCTGTAGGTTGTATATTACGTATTTCATTAAGAAAAACTTCAATATGTTTATTAACAACATCAGGTATATCTTGATTAATCCAATGTGATGCATTAGGAATTTGTTTTACTCGAATATCAGTACAATATTTTTGGCTAGCATTAGCAAGTTCTTCATTTAATGTTGGATCTGGACAACCCCATAAAAGTAAAACTGGTATAGTAATTTGAACTGATGCTAAATCACATTGATAACGAAATAAAGCACGAAAATAATTGAGTACAGCTTTTGTTGTTCCTATTTTGATATACAAAAGTGAAAGAAATATATTAAATATGAATAGATTTTTACCTGCTTGAGAAAATATATATTTATATACGTTAATATCTTCATCTGTTATATGATCTTTATTCATTAATCCAGTTGTTTTTCCATGAAAAGCTTTTTTAAATATTGAAAAATCATCTGCTTGAAATGATAGTTCTGGTATTAATGGAATTTGACTGAAGAACATATACCTATAATTATATATATATATATATAAAATACTGATGATTAAAAAACAAAATATTTTATTCAAACCATGATCGATGAATTTGACCTAATGATAATTGTCGACGAAAAGCACTTGGATGTGGACAATTCATGATAATCAATTTGTTGATTAAATGAGGATAACTATTAAAACAAAAATCAAAAATAAAACATTAAAATTCACTAAACCTACAGTATTGCAGTTGCCCATGCAACAAAACCACCTGAATCATGACCAACTAAAACACATGATTCATAACCTAGAGATAAAACAAAAATACAAAACAATTAGAAAAAAATTGTAATGAAAAATTTTCATTTTAAACCAAGTTGTTCAATAATATCAGCAACATCACCAGCTAATGCTTCAATTCGATAATCAAAAATAAATGGTAATTTTGAACTAAGACCATAACCACGTTGATCAATAGCAATAACACGATAATTTTTCGAAAAATATTTCATTTGATATCGCCATGAATACCAACATTCAGGAAAACCATGAATAAATAATATCATTGGTTGATTTGGTACACCTTTCGATACATAATGAAGTGATATACCCGAAGACTAAAAAATTTTATAAATTAAATAATTATATTTCTCAAAGATGAAAAATAAAATATGAAATAAATACTTTTAATTTTATCATTTCATGATTTCCATAAATTGGATCCATTGCTTTTGATGGTGGTGATGGTCGATCAATTCGTTGAAAAAATCGTTTTCGACCAACACAAAGAAATTGAAATAAAGTAAGTAGAACACCATAGATACCATATAGAAATGCTAGATATGTTATACCAATAAATGAATAAGCTATTATACTGACTGGTGTTGCTGAAACGTCGATAGAAGGTAACAGCATTTCTTTTCTTTTTTTAAAAATGATCAATATAATAATAACCGTTATTATTCTCACTCTTAGTTTGGTTATGTTAAATGAATGAGACAGGTATAAAATTTATACTTTTCGGTCTATGGTTAGAAAAAAATATAAAGAGAACGAATAAAATGGAGCTCACAAAATCAATCATGCACAACAAAAAAAAAAAAAACGAAGTTTGCCTTGCAATCTAAAATGAAACGTAATGCATTTGAAATGTGACGAAAGAAAATACTAACACAGAACAAAAAATAAACTGAACACATCATCATTAAATGACATCTATCGATATATAATTAATGAATGTCGTTTACCAATCAATAATCATGAACAACTTCTGATGATAGAATTGTATTACAAAATACAGAAAAATCAAAGATTATTTTCAATTATAGATACTTAATTTCTATTTTTATTATTTTTTTCTATAGTAAAAAAAGAAAAAGTAGACATTATTTCTTTTCATTTCTTTTAAAGATGAGAATAGTAGCATATATCTAATGCTTTCAATTTCTATAATAAAAACTCTGCTATATCGAACACAAATACGTTTTGTATCATCATCATCAATTGATATTGCAGATTTTATTCGCGGAATGTCTTCAGCAAAAAAATTAAAAATTGAAAGTTCATCAACAATAAACAAACCTCGACATGTTCGAATGAAAGAACGTGGTCGTGATCCTGGTTTAACATCACGTATTAATTTACAAATTATTTCAAATGGTTATGCTAATACAAGTAAATCACTTATATTAAATAATGATCAAACAAATTATATGTTCAATTGTGGTGAAGGTACACAACGTACATTACAAGAAAAAAATACAGCATGGGAAATTAAATTTTCTAAAACAAAACATTTATTTATGACACGAAAATCTTGGGAAACAATGGGAGGTTTATTAGGTGTTTGTATTAGTTTAAAAGATGCTTATTTAAATGAAATTACTTTTCATGCACCATGTGATGTGGTAAAAAACAAAAAAAAGAAATTTTTAATATTCATATATATTAATTAGAAATTTAATTTAATTTTAGATTAGTTTATTAAAACATTGGAAAGGTTTAGAAGCTTTTCCAAATGTAACACTTGGTAAGAATTGATTATGACGGTTGATTTTTTTTTTTATTCATTAAAATTTAGAACAATATGATTATAATAAAGGTGAATTTAAAGATGATTGTTTTAAAATTAATGCTATTCCATTACGAGCAAATATTAATGTTGAAAATCTTAGTAAGAAAAATCTATTAGAAATTTTTGTTTAATTATTAAATTCTATTTTAAAAGATTCTAAACAACAACAATTGACAACATCAAATGATTTAACATCAATGAAAAAATTTCCTGATGATCTTGTTTATGCGTATCTTTGTGAAGTTAATATTCATATTTATTTATTTTTATCTAAATTATTATTCAATTTAGACACATCCATTTCCAGGTTCTCTATCTGCAGAATTATGTGCTTTTCATAAAGTACCACCGTAAGGATATTTTCATTGAATTAGACAATGAGAAATAGTTTGATTTTTTTCTGCAGTACTGAACTTCGAGCTCGATTAAAAAATGGTGAAGATGTTACGTTACCAGATGGTCGTGTTGTATGTATAAATATATATTGAGAAAAATTTTTAAGATTGTTGTTGTTTTTTTTTTTTGTTCAGATTCATTCTAAAGATGTTACTTTACCTGGTGAACCACCTGTTAAAGTTTTAAGTATGTATTAAAACAATTGTTATTTAGAATCAATTTAAAGATCAAAGTTTTAGTTATAAGAGCGTTTTTTCATTTGTATATTCGCAATCCGTGATGTTTTGAACGAAAAGTAAATCGATTTTTTTTTGAAAAAAAATCTGAACATGCCCAAAAAAAAAATTTTCGATAAAGATTTTATAGTCTCAAGAGTTCTCTACGAAATGTACACGGTGTAGTTTTCGAAAATATTGTCACAATTCGAAGGATTTTTTTAAAATAAAAATGCATGAGGTTTATTCTGAGATATACAATTTTTTTATTTTTGCTTATATATCACGATGAACAATGATCATGTTAAGGAACACAAAATTCTGAGCAAAATGAGGGTTCGTCGAGTTTGCTACGGCCTTCTCATAAAAAGTTATAAGCATCGTAAATATCATGAAAAAATAAAAATCGTCTAGAAACGCCGTTTTCATGATTTTTGTGATCCTTGTAATTTTTTAATAAGAAGGTCGTAGAAAACTCGGCGATCCCTTATTTTGCTCAGAATTTTGTGCTCTTTAAGATGGCACCGTTCAAAAATAGCTCTGGTAAAGTCTTCAAGAACCTATTCAATTTTTTAGGAGCCTTGCCATTATTGTTCATCTGTAAAATCTTGCTATAAAGTGTATTGGGTAGAAAACTCAATTGGCTATTAAAATCACTATTTGGATTGAAGCTATGTGCTTAACATTATGAAAAAAGCCAAAAAAATCGTTGTTTCTGAACTTTTTTCCACCACTTTACTAAAGACTATGAACGGCTATACAATCTCATGTAGACGAAGGATGCTAGGTATTGATGAAAAAACTTCGGGTTTGGACCCACAACTTCCTATATGTATGTCTTTTCATAGGTTTCTCTGTATAACCAGCGTTAAGTTTGATACCTTTCCTTAAAAATTATTTTATTGAATTTAGTACTCGATTGTCCATCATTGGCTTATCTTGATTCTATAAATAAAAGTGAATTAAATTCTCATTCATATCATGTAATTGTTCATCTTGCACCAAGTTCAATTTTAAATAATGAAATATATCGTACATGGATGAAAAGGTTTATTGGTTGGTCAAAAATATCTTTTTCATGTAAATAAATCTATATGATTTTTTTAGTATGAATACAATACATCATTTATTACTTGATGAAACACAAAAAAATGTTCATATGGAAGCTATTTATCGTTATCAAACACAATTAAATTATATTGATGATGGAATATTTCCATTACTTAGTTATCATAATATTTTAAAAGAAGTAAATATTAAAATAATTATTTTTCCTTTTTAATCAAAAATTATTTTGTTTTTTTTTGTTATTGAGGATTTAAAAATTCCGGAATCTGTAGATAATATTAGTTATGGTTTTACAAGTACTCGTATACCAATACGTCCAACATTGGGACCAGATAATACAAAATTAGTTACTCTTCAACCACAGAATTATATCGATATATTACTTGAAAATGAAGAATTTAAACAAAAATTTACGGCTGCTAAACAACAATTACAAGCTATGCATGAAATTGCTAAAACAGGACATTCGTAAAGAAAAATTGTTTTTTTTTTTGTTTTGAATATGAATAATCATTATTATTTTTTTTTTAAGATATCCTGAAATTATTTTTCTTGGTACTGGTTCAGCTTGTCCTAGTAAACCTCGAAATACTAGTGGCATACTAGTTCATATAAAGTAATTTAATGATTCTCATCTACTTTATCCGAAAAGAAAAAATAGATGTTGCATTGTAAGCTTTTTCAGTATTGAAAATGAGTCATAAAACAATCTCTCTGTGATTAGCAAGAGCAGCTATATAATGTTTCACAATTTAATCCTACAGGAATTATGCTAATAGCTTTTTTTTTTTTCTGTTGTCTTTAAGTGATGCAAATATATTTCTTCTTGAATGTGCCGAAGGTACAACTGGTCAAATTCGTCATTTTTATGGTGATCAATCAGATGAAATTCTTTCACATATTCGTTTTGCTTATGTATCACATATGCATGCAGATCATCTTGGTGGTTTATATGGTTTAATTCAACAACGTCGACGTGCATTTGAAAAACTTGGACATAAATATGAAAAATTAATATTACTTTGTCCAAATAAATATGTTGATGTTGGTCGAAAACAATGGAATTATTTTTCTAATAAATATTTTTTTGATGATGATGTACATATTGTTTTTAATCGTACATTAACAAATGGTTTACCAACATTAACACATATTGGTGGTGAAAATACACAAGAAGAAATATTTCTTTTTGATAAATTTAAATCTATTGGTTTACATGGTGTACAAACAGTACTTGTTGAACATATTTATGATGCACATGCATTAGTTCTTAGACATATTGATGGATGGTCATTAGCATTTAGTGGAGATTGTAAACAATCAAGTGATTTTATTCAAGCAGGTTAGAATTATATAATATTGATATTATGAAAGATTAAATGTCAAATTTACAGAGTTAATAGGCACATCAATTCTCTAACTCCGATCTCTCTTTATAATTCATATGTTATTAAAATATATAGTGTTCCAAAAGTAATTTTGTAGAAGTTCACTATTTACAACGTAATATTATTTGTTGAACAGTCATTTTATAAACATATGTTTTTTATAAAAAGAAACCCTATGATATCAAATCAGATGCAAATAAAATCCATAGGATTCAATTCATTAATCATCGAACGTTTTCTTCAGGCAGATAAGAACTAGAAAAGTGATTATTACTCTATTTTTTTTAATAAATTATTATTGACTGTTCAAAAAGTCAGTGAACTCGGATATTTTTGAAATAACTCAAGATTCGCTCAGTTTTTAAGCAAATTTTATTACTTTTTGTAAAAACTTTATTTCAATGAAAGATAATTTGTATACATTTTTTTTTTCGGTGTTTTATAAAAAAAAAGAAAAGGTTGACTTTAAAATAATTTCATCTTATACAATATTGGAGAAAAAGACATCTTGATATCTCTTCTTTCAATTGGTGAAAACCACAGCTCTCTACTTCTTTTCATTCTTGAATTATTTCAATAATATCCGAGTCCATTGACTTTTTGGACTGACATTAGTTACGAAAATAAAATCAGTATTTCACGCCTCATTTAAATATTAGATTAATTTCACAACTTGAAATAATTAGACAAAAAAAAAAGCAACATTGCATAATATTTTGTAGAAATAGAAAAGCTTTATATTTTAATTTAAGATGATACCATTGAATAGTATTT